TTCAACAGTTCATGGATGTACCAACCGAGCCGAGCTAGGCCCGTTGGTGGAAGGATATAATTTTTTGTTCGCAATCATCGCACAAGTCCTTGCTTCGACAATGGGCCTCATTGCACATCTCGCCATACGCCAACATTATGTATGTATCCGGACAAACAGGGCAGTCTAAATACATTCAAACTGTTGGCATTTGGCGAAATGCAATGGTGCTGCAAGGCCCCATATAGACCAACCTCGCTCACTACCGAGAACTTGTCATCATCATTTTGTTGTCCCTGCTCTTGCGCAGACTCTCGGTCATCGGAACGCGCGCTGTACCCGACTCACCTACGGACGGGCCTGGTTCCACTACACAACATCGTACACGCATCTGGACAGACTGGTCCAACATTTTCAATGTACTAGGACCAGTGAATTGTCCAGATACATTCACAATGATGTGCAGGGGAGCATTGCCCCCCCTCTATGTCTTGCAGAACCTTCAGTAGGCCCACTCTCCCACACGGAGTACAAAAACATAAAAAATAATAACGCAGAGGAAGCTGCCCCCATCGTCGCCGGGTATGGGGTATATGAACTAGTGCGTCCCGCTGCACTGAGCTCCACATTCACAAAAGACAAAAAACATATGGAAGTGCATCTTTCCATGTTCTTGCGGAAAGTTCATTGTCGAATTCCACCTTTGGAGAGCAGTGCAGAGAGGCCTCATGGTAAAGGATTCCCTTTCTCGAACAGACCGTGGCCCATCTGGCGATGCAGGTTTTTTGCCCTCTCCCTTTTTGTTTCCAGTTCATCACCGCCGTGTCTGAAATGCGACTGGCGGTCCCCATCTCTACCTTCTTCCGCCGAATACAATGTACCGTCATTCTAGCTGTATTTGAGGCATCTTTCAGTCTAGATACACAGCTATAATGACCGTACGTCGTATTCAGCGGAAGAAGGAAGCTTGACGTGCCCCTCCCCATAGAGGAGGACTCACTGACCACCTTCGACAAAAGAAGGTGAACATGTGCAGCCAATGGCGAAGCACCGAGTTCACCCCGCCTGGCTCAATAACCCAACGTCGTGAAAATGGAGAGAATGGCCTTGCCCTATGCACGATCCATGTCAATCGACGGTGCCAAGGAGTGTCACACAACAGGGAGGTGGTCCCCACCCCATTACCAGAACAGGAGCAATGCTAGTGGGACTTGGGCCCGGCCGGGCCCAGGTAAATCCGCTGTAATATTTATTCTATGTCATCTGATTCCCACTGGATTCCAACTCAGGCATATGATTTTTTTTTTTTCTTTTTTTTCTTCTTGTATGTTCTTCTCCCAACTTCTGTTTCTTTTTACCTTCCACTAAGACTATCTAGAGGGGACCCCTGCAAGCATAGTTTTTCCTCTCTCTGTGAAGGGGAGATTTCATGTTGCCCCTTGCCCCTAATGGTTAGGGTATAGGGTTGGGGCCGCCCGTGGGGGTCTAGCTAACACAAAGACCGAGACCTGCCAGTAGCTGTGCCTCCCTTTCTCATCGTCCCCCACCCTTCATCGAGTAGCGGCAGAGGCTATGGCCAACACTCTCCCACACACCACACACAACCCACTCGCGCTCACACTCACACCCGTGTTGGTCATAGCAGTTCATTGGTGTACCAACCCAGCTATCTTTCCGCACCAGGATACAATGTACAGACATTTTACCTGTATTTGGGGTATATTTCAGTCTAGATACTGCAATAATGACCGTACATTGCATTCAGGCGAACGCGGTAGTCTTGTCCGTCCATCGATACTGAGTATTCTCTCCTCTCCACTTCAAAAGTGCTTTTGTGTTTTCCCCACCCTCTTCATTTCAAGGTGTTTTTTTTTTCCCCCCCACCCCATACGATCCAGCTCATCTGGACAGCTAAGGTTTTCAAATACGAATCGTCCTGTCCAGCTCAATCCTCCTGTCGAGGGGCAAGTCCCACTCCTTGGTGCCTGAATCTGGACGTCTTTGTGAAGATGATCTGCAGAAATTACGTCGAGTTTCATCAACCGCACGTCTCCACAAACACGTCCAGATTCAGGCTTTGAGGAAACTCGACGCTGCTAGTGGGACTAGGCCCCAGCTCAACTATACAATGTATGTAGTCATCCCGTAAAACCCTTCTGTAGGCACCCAATACTGTGTAATTTACTAATTTCGCACGTTCCTCAGGGCACGCTCACACTGCGGTATCAAATCCCTGCATAATCCCCCACATCCCCAAAAATCCCCAAAAAATACTATCGAGGGATAGTCACACCAGGATCTCATTTCCCCAAACTACTTAATCGCGACCTAGGCTACCAGAGTGGCCCGGGGTCACTTGCCCGGCCGGGCCAAAAATAATGAAAAAAAGTAAAAAATATATATATATTTTTGTATTTTATTTTTTATTTTAAAATTGGTAAAGAATTTGGATGTGACCCTGAGGCAAAAGTTGTTCAGTTTATTTTTCTGCATAACATAGTTTTTTGGGGGGATTTTTTTGAGTTCTTTTTTTTTTTTTTTTTTTTTTTTTTTTTTTTTTTTTTTTTTTTTTTGGGTTTTTTTTTTTTTTTTTTTTTTTTTTTTTTTTTTTTTTTTTTTTTTTTTTTTTTTTGTTGCTGGGACCTTCTCTGGTCCTTGCACGGGCTGGCCCGGGCGGCCCGGCTGGTAGCCTAGTTCACAACCCCATTTGTCAGCGGAAAACGGGAGCAGCACCTGCTGGAAAACGGGTCCAGCGTCCCATTATAGATCACAAAAACTGAGTTTGGCCTGCCAGCATTGATTGCCCTTGTCACCCGGGCGGGGGATTGACTGAGCAGGTAGTGGAGTGAACGACAGTTGCAAATCGGAGTTTAGTTGTAACCAAAGAAGATCGTATTGCCGAACCACCTCTTCAGCCCTGATCAGGCCACCAGAACCAACGCTCCACCCGTTTTTTTTTTTTTCCACCCTAGCGGTCCCACACATCGCTTCCACAAGTGTAAAATCCGGCTGTCGGCTCTGTCTCCGTCTGTAGAATGGGGAACTGACGAGCGCAATTTTTTTATTATCTTTTTTTTTTTTTTTTTTTCAAATTCTGTTCATGTGATTGCATCTGGATTCGAACTTGGGTCTGCTTTTCACGCCTGAGAACTCGGACGCAACTTGTTGGCATGACCCGCAAGACCGGAAGTTTTTTGTTTAAGCCCAGGGTGTTGTCGAGGCCAAGGACCAGACCCACGGTGATTGCTGGCAGCGGCAGCCAATGGTTGTCCTGACAGGATAGGTCACCTACCCTACCCATCCCCACGTTTATACTCCCAGCGCACCACCTGTCCCTCCTACTATCCTACCTCAGTGTGACCAGCAGTCAGGATCATTACCCTAACACAGTATTGAGGGCAACTGGGACCAGACAGCAGTGCCAAGCACCAAGGCTGGGCCAATCCCCCAGCGCCAGTGGACGGGGAGGCGGACGAACCTTGCCGTACGGGAACTTCGGACACCAGGCTCATGCCCATGCAATCTTCGACAGGCCCAATCCAAAGAGTCTACCCAGCAGGAGTACCTAAGCAAGGCAAGCCAGCGCCCACGGACACATCCTACCGTCCTTCCCCTAACTTACCCAAGGCTCGGCGGAACTCAGACTAGCCGGAGCGACTTATATCGGACACATCCTACCCTCCTTCCCCTAACTTACCCAAGGCTCGGCGGAACTCAGACTAGCCGGAGCGACTTATATCCCTACCCTACCCTACCCTACCCTACCCTGGAGCTAAGCCATGCATGGGTAGACCCCGTCATGTACCTGACAGAACCCCCAGGCCGGTATCATAGCTATGTACCTCTGTATGAGCCCGTAGGCTATGTGTATATATATTCACGAGCCATGTTTGTGTCTGCCCGAAGGCTATATATGTGCTCTGTGTAACTGTATAGCGAGACGTATATTCCCGGAGGCCAGATATGTGCAAAATACTATGTAGAGGGAACTATGTGTTCGTTGAAGAGATGACAGGCCAAGCTGGACAAGAACCCCCCCCAAGTCCCAAGCCAGACTCGAACCCGTGCTCTATGACATGTGACCTGACGACTCTGCCATTTGAGCAACAATTGCAAACCGCACCTGTGTGTGATATGCCAGACTGGAGAGATCAACAGAACAGCCACAAGCAACCCACGACGTATCAAGACCCGACATACAACACCATAGACCACCCTTGGGTGGTGCACAGGCAGCGTCGTAATGGCTTACCATGGGTCAGCCCAAGGGTGTGCGTGCCCAGCCTTGCGCCACTATAACGCCCTGCCGGTGTCCATGCGCAAGGCTGCAATTGAGTTTTGAACCCGCAACCTCATACCACAATGCGCATTTCCAACCGGTGCCCTAACCACTGAGCTACATCAACTGGACTCGCCTAATAACACCATAAACCACCATTATTTCCTCAAAAATCGCACAGACCCCCGCCGACCCAGGGGGGGGGGGCAGGGGGTGAGAGGTGTGGGGGGGGGGAACATGGCCAGTAGATCGTCAATCCAACAGGCCAACTGAAAAAAAGGGCATGCTACGTGGGGACCACCACCCTGGTCAGACGTAAAACATAGCATGCTCTAGTAGCCGACCATGCACACCCTAGACTCCCTACACACTCTAGTACACAGCCTAAAAGCCTGACCAGCATGGGTGGTGGGGACCACCACCTACACACAAGAATATACTACCATCAAAGAAACCCTCACAAAACTCCTCTGGTAAAATCAATTTCCTAGTTTATCATCTACTTTCAAGTTCTTCCATTTATTGTTCCAAATTCCAATTATATTTTATTATTTCTCAAATATCATCCTAATTACATTTCTTACAAGTTAATAACTGTTTCCAGCTTTCCACCACATCAGCACAGCAATTGTCTTTTTTTTTTTTTTTTTTTTTTTTTTCCCAAAAGATGCTCCTCCCCTCCTCTCCCCCCCGCCAGACCCTCCTTTACTCCCTCATCATTTATTTATTTTTGTCAAGACTACAATTCAGAGGCATTTTACTATTTTCACTTTTTTAAAGTTTTTTTTACTATTCTTACTCCTTTTAATTCCATCGTAATTCGAACTCAGGTCTGTGTTTCAACGGTTGATAGGTATCCCAACTGCGCTAGACCAGTCGGTAATCGAAAGAAATGACACAGCAATGAGGTCTATATGCGGTTTGCGGCGGCTTTTAGTACACACACACACGCCATGATGCACATAAGACATGTATGGATATATAGTATTATATACACATGATCTTGAGGCACAACACACCTCCTTATACACAGGACGATTATCAAGGGCGCATGAGCACTGCACACTAGCCCAGCCTCCCTTCCTTCACAGGCCCCTTTCTAATTTTTTTGAACACCCCCCCTGACATTCGCCGCCGTCCTCGTTGCCAGCCTTGTTCCCCGTTCTTTTATATTTCTCCTCGCTGCCATTGGTGGAGCTCCTAGGCTCCGTTTCCGCAGGGCTCCTTGCCCAGCTTCCACCGGCTTCTGCGGGACTCTGCCTGCCTTCCACTGGGCTCTTCACCCGCCTTCCGCGGTGCCCCTCACCCGCCTTCCACGGGGCTCGTCGCCTGCCTTCCACGGGGCCCCTCGCCTGCCTTCCACGGGGCGGCTTTCACCCGACTTCCGCGCGCCCTCTCACATACCTTCCGCGCGCCCTCTCCAATGCCTTCCATGCGCCCTCTCGCACTCCTTCCGCTCTCCCTCTCCAATGCCTTCCATGCGCCCTCTCGCACGTAAGTAAACTCATCCACGCACCCTCTCGCACACCTTCTGCTGGGGTTCCTGCATGCCTTCCGCGAGGCAACAATCAACAGGCACCTCCGACCTGCTACTCCCTGGCGCACAAAAAATTGTCACTCTTACACATGATGCACACTTATGAGATGAAACCTGAAACCACTATTTCCGGAAGCGAAACCAATCTCCATTTCCTTTCTGCTGTGTTTGATTTCTGATCACATGTTGCGGAGTCATTCCCACACAAGAAGAAAGCCATTTTTGTCACAAGAGACAAGTGGCCGGCCAAGGTCGCACCATGCGCATGAGAACACCGGACTGGCATGCCCTCGAAGCACTCGCTCGAGGGAGGCAGTCGTGTGAGACCAGACGTACACATTACTGTCGGAGGAACCTGCGGCAATGTACTTGTCGTCAGGACTCATACATGCCCTGCTCCAATTGGAAGGGGCTAAATACCCAGGGGCTCGGAGTGTGCACCGGGCTTCGAATGTTCGGAGATCGAACACATTCAACACGTTATCTCGTCCGTTTGTCAGAATGGACGTTCCTCCCTGCGATACTGAGACGCTCGTGATCGCTCGTGAATGCGCTGGCACCTCGTTCACAAGCACACCATTCTTCATCTCCCAGAAGCGCAAGTGGCCGTCTGTGTGCCCGGTACAGATCATTGCACCGTCTGGAGTGAGGCAGAGGGCATTGCAGTTGCTGTGTGTCAAGATTGTCTGGATACCATATCCTCTCTGCACGCGTACCGCCACACAATGACGATCACCGATACACACGTCCACAACCATTTGCACACACACATCACACATTTAATCAGATCACCTTGGCCTCTTCAGGATTGCGAATTTGAAATGTACATATTGGCGCCTTCACTGAAATGAATTTCAACAAAAGAAAAGAAGAAAGGAAAGATGCAGGGCTCAGTCATCACACTGCAAGGCTCAAGATCACAACTGAAGGCTGGAAGAACATGCAGTTGGCTGTGCACACAGATGACACCTGGTCCATGTGTTTGTCAGTCACACCCACCTGCATTTGCGAACAGGCAGAGAAGCATCGCACGCGCTCGCACACACCCGCATGCACACCCAAACACCCACACCGACCTGAATCTGCGAACAG